CTGAAACTCTCAGACTGAAGAAGTCTCTTGGAGAAGAGACGAAACGTTTCATTAGAGAAGAACCCGTCCCTACACAATTTTTTCTTTTTGATTTTTTACCTGGATTACTGAGATGCATCAGGACATATTATCTTGAACAGCGGAAGGTATGGCCGTCAATGAATCACAACACGTGATCTATCCAACAGCACCCCTCACAGATAAACACACTTATTGTGAATGTATACATCCTTGCAGGCTGTTGCTCTCGGTCACAGTTCTCATTTCCCACAATGCTTTGTGTCTGCTTACATAGCAGGAAGGCAATGTTTAGTACTCCCTTTCCCAGAAAAAACAATAAACGTTTGTAATCCATACTAAAATTTTGTAAGTATTGATTTATTTTACTTTACAATCTGAGCTCCTTTTTTTAAAATTAAAAAAAGTTTAAATGCTGGAGCTCAATACTTGACGTAATTGGTCGAAGCAATCCACCAACGGGGTTAGACAGACATCTAGGGGTCAAATGGAGCAACTACATGGAAAACTTTCATTTCCCGTCACAAATCAAATCTGTCATGTACCCAGAATGTATCGCTTCAGTTTTCCAATAAACAGTTTTAAAATTACTTTATTGATGCTTCTTTAATGAAAACTCTACAACAAACAAAAGACAAAGAAGCAGCCAAACTAGCAATCCTCAACAACTTTTTAAAGAAGCAGCCGAAATAGCAATCCTCAACAACTTTTTAAAGGATCAGCCAAACTAGCAATCCTCAACAACTTTTTAAAGAAGCAGCCGAACTAGCAATCCTCAACAACTTTTTAAAGAAGCAGCCGAACTAGCAATCCTCAACAACTTTTTAAAGGATCAGCCGAACTAGCAATCCTCAACAACTTTTTAAAGAAACAGCCGAACTAGCAATCCTCAACAACTTTTTAAAGAATCAGCCGAACTAGCAATCCTCAACAACTTTTTAATTTTTACACCAGGAGCCCAAGGTCTGTTTCAAGAAATCACATCCCCAGCAACCGGCGCTTGAAGGATTAAGCATTACAAAGGTTCATACACCGCTAGTTGGCAGTGTTGTACATATATTGTACATGAATTTTTGCCAGCTAGTAAGTGTCAAACTGAACTTGTGCTTAAAAATTAGCTTCCACTAGTTTTTCTATGACATAAGCGTTTTTGAAGTTGCGGACCTAAATATTTTCTTAAGCGCTTTAGAAATTGCGGAGCAAATTTTTGGGTTAGCGCTGCCCATCACTGCTCTCTACTCTACATGTTTTTGTATTTATTCTTGCTATTTTTCTGCATTTTCTTCCCATTGAAACTACACTTGGACCAATCTTTCTGTCTGTGCCCCTCCTCTGTCCTCTCAAACCTTCAGTCGAGCAGATGACTGTCCATCCTGAACCTGGTTCTGCAGGACGCTTCTTCCTGTTAAAACAGACCCGTTCCTCTCCACTGCTGCCTCTGTGCTGCTCAGGGTGGAGGATTGTGAAAAAGGAAGATCCAACACAATCTGCTGGCTTCTTTAATTCTGTTTCTAATTGGCCTATCATAATGTATTGTATTAATTGGATTCAAAGTTAAATCTGAAGCTAAATGACAAAAAAGCATTTTAAAACAAAAACATTTTTCTCCTTTACACAGTGCAAGGTTTACCCCTATTATGAGTTGGTGTTACATAAACTGAAATGAATGTAATAACCTGTGTTTTGGAAATAAAGAATCAGTGTACCTTGTTTTGTTTTCATAAAAAGAGGCAAAATCTCGGAGTGCATCTGAGTACAGTTTAGTGAAAACGGGTCAGCAGGTTGGAGCTCACCCATGTGGCGATGGAGAAGAAGGAGAAGGCGATGGTGGCCCGTGCTGCGTCCAAAGGAATACCACCATCATCCAGCGTCTGACTCCACTGACTGGTCAGCACGCAGAAACACACGAACCACAGGAAGGTCCACACCCCTAAAAAACCACAGACACGCAGTGACTACATCCTCTCCACACAGAAAAAAAAAAAAAAAAAAAAAAAAACGAGTAAATATCCCAGACAGAAACAACAGAATGAAATGTTTCTCCTGCTCAAACAAACACAGGCCGTTTCTTTCCCAAAACCAACACTTCTTTGTTTCACAGAAGAATGGATGTTTGTGAGCCGTGTCGTGCAAAACTGATAACTGTTTATCTCATCACCCGACAGCAGTCATTCCTGTGTTTAACGCTGAAAAATATGTCAGGAAAACAAGCCTCTCTGGCAAAAACACCAGCGTTAAACTATTCTGTCAAAAAAACTCAGGTTTGATTTGAAAAAGCAAAAAACAAAAACACAAATAAAGAGTTATTCTAATCTTAAAAACTGCCTTTTAATTTCCCAAGACTATTAATATCATGGTCACCATTTATTTAGAAAAGGCAACCAATAGCAATATGTGTTTTTTAACTTTGAAATGCAGCTTTGAATTAAAGTACAAAAATTTACAGAATCAATTCAAGATTATATAAAATGCAAAAAACATTAAACAGTTAACTACTGATTCATAAATCTAAACATACAAAAATGCTAAATTATTGAAGATCTAGCATTCCTTAAAGTGCCTGTGACATCAACATGTTGTAATAAAAATGAACGTATTTTTGGAAGGATAACGCTGGTAACAGCTGCTGAGATGAACAGTTGTTGAGATACTTGCATGTGAAGTAACAGGAAGTGATGTCAAAGGGGAATGTCTGCATGTGAACAGAACCTTGTCACATTTGGCTAACAACCCAGACTGTAGAGAAGAATCTGATGTTTCTTTAGATTATTTTAATCTCTATCATAGAGAGTTGAGAAAGAGTCAAGAGTCCAAATAATATTGTTTCAATAAACAAAACCAGGAAGTCTTCTTTCTAAAAGAGTTCCACTATGATGTCACTTCCTGTCTCATTTTAGCTGAGCCAATTTCAAAAGAAAATAAGCCAATTATGTGACATAACGTGTAAAATCATGTGTATTATGCCTAATTCATTAAATATAAATATATTTTATTTGACTTTTTGTATCTCATAGATATGCATGTCACAGGCACTTTAAAAGGAGTTTAAAACTAAGATAATCTTATCTTACAAAAGGGTCATGACCATATTGGTCAAATATTGAAATTAAGAACAGGCAATAATATGAGGTCTCACACATTCTGTTAGCACTTAAATAATGTGTTAGGGATGACTCAGCTTAAGCTTTTTGCTAATATCTGTATAATTGACTGAATCATAACCACCGTTTCTTACAGATTGATTAGCTGTGGCAGCCGTCTTGAATTGGTTTGAGATATTTTTTGAACAGACAAACTTGACTCCAAAGGTTTTTTTTTCTTAGCTGTTACTACACCAAATTTAAGCTCAGTATCTGTGAAAATGACTGAGTTACAGCCATTTATTTTTAGGTCAATTAACTATGGCAGCCATCTTTAATCGGGTTATTACAAATGGTAAGCAGTTATATAGTTACATCCAATAATTACTTTTTATTAGTTTTATTAAAAATCGTTCAGTCGCTCCTGATTTTTATTTTATTTTTCCAGTTTTCAGTCGTTTTTAGTCACTGTTTAAAAACGACTGAGAAGCAAACACAGGAGAAAATGTTGTCTTTCAAAAACAGGTCATATATACCTGAGCTTATAACGAACTGAGGCGACCTGACCTGTCCTCTGATGAGACTAACTTAGTTTTTGTAGTGATCTGCACAGCCCCAATGCTAAAGAAAATCAAATGTTATTTTTGGGAAATGAAAAATCTAAAGTTTGCTGCTCACCTGATAATCCCAGGTCAGCCATGACGGCATATTTTCTTTCCTGTGCGTTGCTCATAAAGGGCAGATAAACATCCAACACGAGGAAGGCCACGCAGACCAGGAAGGCGATCACCCCGATACCAACAGCATAGCTGCACGCAGAATCACTTTGGTTGAAAATGCATTTCCCCTCAGGTTTCTGCACAGTGTTGATGTACCCTTCTCCAGTGATGGTTCCAAACACCACGATGGCAAACACCTAAAATAAAACACAGAGAGCAGAAGGTCGCTGCTGAAATAACACAGTGAAAACACAGTGTAGAATGACGGTGCTGAAGAAACGGAGTTCTTAAAGTAAAATATCTGTTGATAAACTTAACAAAACAGTAGCTAAAAATAGCAGAACAGATGCTTAAGCAAAACTCTAGTTAAAAAATAGAAGCTAAAGTTAAAACTGGCAAAACAATACAAAAGCTTAAAAGGATGGTAGGTAAAAGCAGCAGACTTCAAAGTAAAAGAAGAACAGTCACTAATAGGGGTGTAAGAAAATATCGATACACTGAAATATCGCGATATTTCATTTCACGATACTGTATCGATATTCTAAAGCCCTGTATCGATTTTTTATTAAGGTTTAAAATGTCAACTTTCCTGCCAGCCATTCATTTTTATGTTGTAGTTCAGCCTCTGACCACTAGTTGGCAGCAGTGAGCCAGCCATTTGGCTATTGTTAAGTGTTGGGTGACCATATTGTAAATCAATATTAAAAACTAAAAGCTGCGAAAAATATATTTTCAAACTATTTATTGTCAAATTTAGTCTAATAATTGAAAACATGGATGAAATAAGAAATATGAAACAAATAAAATAAAATACATACAAAGCAGAACATAGCTAAATGTATCAAAAGTATGTCTCTGTAATATTAGAATTTTCTGAGACAATGAATTTTGGTTTTTCATTTTTTTCCCCTGTAAGAGGTTTTTATTTAATAGAATTTTTGGACAAAAAATTGCAGTATATCGCAATATATCGCCTTGCTTATAGTATCGCAATATATCGAGATATATCGTATCGTGGCCCCTCTGTCATGATATGTATCGTATCGCCAAATTCTTGCCAATTCACAGCCCTAGTCATTAAAAGATAAAAATAGCAGATTTGCTAAAACTAAAAGTGGCAAAATGGTGGCTAAAAGCTAAAACTGGAAGAACAGTAGTTAAGGGCTGAAAGTAGCAAAAACAATAGCTAAAAGCTAAATGGGGCTTTTATGACAAAAACAGCGCAAGTAGCTAAAGCAGATTTCAGAGAACGTTTTGAAGGAACTGAAGAGATCTGGGATTTTCTGTGAAAAATAAAAGCTAAAGTGAATATGAGCTGAACATTAAACTGGCAAAACATACTGCTGTTCAGTCTGACTATTGCAGACAGTTTGACTCATTTTGCACACCCCCTTTAGTCTGTCATGACTGTTTTTTTCCTGTAATTTATATTTTTCTGCACAGTATCTTGCCTTAATTTTCATTTTATCCAATTTCATCTTGATAAGACTATTATGGTAATGATTATTCTTACTTTTGATCTACGTATATTTTTTATTGTTACTATCTCAGCTTATTGTTATTGCTACATGATAATGTCACATAGTAATATACTGTTTCTGTGGACTGAAGTGCTGCAGCTACTACACCTGAATTTCCCCGCGTGGGACAACAAAGGCCTATTCTATTCTATTCTATTCTATTCTATTCTATTCTGTCTGTTTGGACATTTGAATGGGGAATAGTTTTTAGTTGTTTATAAATGTTTACCAATCAGCCTTCGGCTCATACTGTAAAATGTATATTTGTAATATATCTTTATTTGCTCAATGTGTAATAATTTGGTTGAAATGCATGAATAAAGTTTAAGGGATGCTGACTCAGCATTTACACAATTAAAAAGGAACAAAAGTTTTGTAACTGGCCAAGCCAAAGTGACTTTCAAGTTTAGTCATTACCTAAAATTAGCATATTTTCCATTTGAGCCAACTCTTTTCAAAGCAAAGCCCAACATCTGCAGTCATTTCAACTTCAGCTGGTTTACTGTAGTTTGTAAAAGAACTCAAACTCTAAATCCAGAGATAAAATGTCCACAAAAAGCAGAATCAGGTTCAAATTATGTTCGTTTAACATAGATGGTTGTTCTTTCTAAAGGGACAATATCATGTAAAATCAACTTTTTTGAGTTTTATATCATGTTATAATGTTATACTCTCATAAAAAA